AGTGCAGACATGTCCACTCATCCTCTGATTTTCCCGAAAATGTACGCGGGAAATCGGTCCATACATTATTGCTGCTCACAATTTATGAGGCACGCATGCCGACCCTGATGTAAGACGATGGAATATAAATTTCACGACCGGGAACCGAGGAACTCCGACCAATAACACGGGTATATACTGGCACCGACATGGCCCGGAACAGGGCTTAATTTGGAATGACTCATTCATTGAGTGAAAGTGGCTGGTGGTTAAAATAGTAACACACTTTTGATGTAAAAGTACAAGTTTTCATGAATGTGCGTATTTCTTGTCATTTTGAAATATATGCGTGTGTGTATATGGGCTAATGCCACGAGAAACTCTCTTGCCACCCCACCCCCAATGAATCAATGGCATAATCCTTAACCTTTAAAAGGTAAACCATTTTTAGGTTCGATGTGCTCCGCATTGAGTTGGGAGTTAAAATCTCAAAAAATTCTGATCCGATTTTGATCAAATTTGGTATCTGGTTACCTTTAAATAATGAGAAGATATAAGTTTTGTGGCCATGCACATGCATCTTAAGTAGCTAATTTGCATATTATTTTTCTCATTTCAGACTGTTAACAAAATTTTAAAGAGTGGTAGTCGTCGTGCCATGCATTGCATGAGATATATGGGTCTCGTATAAACAAAGATGGCAACTTTGACTGTTACACAGATCAACAAGTACCAGACATTTCCAAGCTTTAATTAGGTAATTTTTAGGTGATTGGAAGGTATCGAAGGAGTCACCGCCGGTATTCAGTGCAAGTCGCACCCACGTCAAACCTTATACGTGTGATTTCCATTTGAAGAACGCATTGTATTGTGGGAAAATAAATGTTTATCAACACAACGACCACTGCGCTTTAAATACACATTTGGCACCTTGGTAACTTGGGAGTAAAGTACACACGTGATTAGTTTTAGAGCTATGTCATCTTTTCTGACTGTTCTGCAGTTTGATTTTTTAGATATTTCGTTATATAATGCCAATTAGTGCATATATTCTGTATTCACACAGGAGATCTGCAAAGTTTATCTTTGATTATAATTGTCACCTTAAAGTAGAAGGTGTAGCATTCTACCTTAAGGTAGTTTGCTACCATTAAAAAAATACTCAGAAATCCTTGAAATCCAGCAAGAGGGGTTGGGTTACTGATATGTTAAAAATTCTAAAATAAAAATATAGCAAACTAAGTTTTTCAAAAAACGACCTCAAAAACAGTGTTTTTTTTAACAGTTTACAATTGGTTCCTAATGTAGAAACATTCTATCATTTCAAAATTGTTTCCGGTTACCTATGCTAAAAACCTGATACAGCTGTATGGAGTGTTATGACTATATACACATATGAGTGTCACGAAAAATTGGAGAATTTTGATTATTAGTATAAGTTATTTACCGGGTAGCCAGATTTTAGATTATTTTGCATGTTTTCTCCGTAAATATGAATGACGTCTTGTCGTGCATGTATGTCAATCATCACACAACAATTTTTAAAAAATTTACTGTGATCAATTTTTTCGATGTTTTAATGGTAGCAAACTACTACTTACCATTAAAACAAATGATCAGATTTACTTGATGTTTACACTGTAGTTTTATTTTTAGCTGTTTTTCACAAAACCCAGATAAAAATACATCACCAAACTACTTTTCGCACAAAACACAAGTCAAACATTCATGAAAATGGTGATTTTGGGGTCATATTGGTTCCTATGCTAAAGGGTTCACATCATATCTCAGTCATTCATTTGGTTACATGTGGTGAACAAATAGAAAGTTATAAGACAGGTACTTATGTGTGTCAAGAATTATTGTGACATTTTGAAGATTATTATTCATGAAATAATAATTTAACATGTCTTACGAGAATTATTCCAAAAATGTAGGCATTTTTTCTTCAAACGAATATTTCAAACTAACAATAAAGTTGATGACATGTGTCAAAACCAATTTTTGCTCTAATTGTTTAGGTCAAATACAAGCAATCTACCCCAAGAGAGAGAATTTTCGAGTGTAAATTGACAACATTTCTCTGTATAAAAAAAATACAATTACCATAGGAGTATTACCTACAGTGTGTATAACTGTATATAATTGTTGCCGTGGCAACAAATTGAAATAAATGATTTCTTATATTTATGTTGAACAAGTAGATCAAAAGTGGCATGCTACAATATCCATGTATAGCAGAATAACTGTCTGATGGGTAACATTCAGTGCACACCTAATTAGTTATGTGTATATGCATAATTATATTCATAGAAAGGTTATGATGTTGCATACAGCAATTTAGTTTTTCATGCAAAAATCCATACATATTGTTTATTATTCACATTATTATAGATTTGAAGCATATTGCCCCAGATTCATTGATTGGATTGGAAATGATACAGTTATTGAATATTACCATATTCAATAGAATATTTAAATTAATCCATTAATTAAACTTCAATGACATATATTTTAAATATTTGCCACTCCCATTACACACATTACCAGTTTCAAAGCTAAATTTGATAATATAAAATATAGTTTTTGAGACGTATATTTTCAGAGTGCATCAAGGACTAGCATTTTTTACCAAAATTTACTGAAAATATTGACATAATTGAAGGTATCATCACAAAATGAACAAATCTGACTAAGGTCCACCCAAAAATATTAAAACACTTAAGCTAAACATTTTAAGGAAAAAGTCAAAAATAGCGTTTTTTTACCAAAAATATTTATCAAAATTTGAGAATTGAAGATATCTTCACAATGTCAACAGCGGAGCTAAATAGTGCTACCAGTAATTTTTGTCCATCAGAACGTTTTTAAGTGGTAATTACATTTTTATATATGTGTAGATGCTCTAATAGAAGCCACATCCCTTCTGTTGTATTATATCATTTTAATGATATAATATATAATAGAAGTTGCATCTTTTAATACAGATTTTACAGTTCACGCTGGTCAATAATGTTAATGAAATCCACATACATGTAAGTGACATTACTGGGACACTATCCAGGTATTGCATTAACCCAATATTCTACTTCCAAGACCCCCTAATACTAGTGAAGGCCCAATTTTAGTAAATTTTTAATGATGATATATACACAAAACCTAATGTCGATTCCCCTCCACTTTCTCATCATAACTCGCTACACACAAATGTTTATAAAATCCATGCACCGCCCATGAGGCATTCTACATGCAACTTTTTAGGCTCAACTCCAACAACCTCCCAAAGCAAAATGAATGTTTTAAACAATGTAACTTCTAAATAAAATACAGATGGCAGTATATTGCATCACATAATTTGAAGGTTCAATCTGTTAGTGATGACAACAGGCAAGTAAATAACATTTATTAAATATGTACTGCAGAACACACAGCCATGCAACAACATTAGGATTGTCTACAACTGATATGCAAATGAGATAAAAAAGTCCCCTCTAAGAGTTTTCTTGGCATTTGTTGCATAACTTGAACTGCCCCTAAAATTATTGTTGGAATGTTATGATTTTGTAATTTGAATAATAAAACTTCCAAAGTTACATTCGTGTACAAACAAGAGTATCGAGAGCTACGAAATAAACTGCAAATTAGGTATGTGTCCATGAAGAACTTATCCTGGTGTCTTCATGGTTGGGATCGTAAGACTCAAAGTTGTTGTTTTTTCAGAATTTGAACAACAAATCAAAGTGTATTTATATAGATCAAAACATTAAACAAAACTGTGCAGCTTAGAAAATCGCTGTGACATTACAAGTCTCGGTCGGGGTTTTGGTGTCATAAGTTACATTTACTCTTTGATATCAATGTCACAAATATTTATAAAAAGGTCATGTGTCACAATAGATATCAATGGGATGTATTGTTTTTATTTTGTAAAACTCTTGAACTCCATTCTGTTTGATGCAATCGTCAGTATCTTCTTCAGTTACACAACAGACAACACTGCAATGTGTGTCTCCTTTTACTTGAATAGAACGAAAGACTGGATTGGCCAATCATTAGACAGAATTTGGAATACCGCTAGGTCATTGCTCTTGTGTGCACTTATACAAACATCTTGGATCAAGTGATGATCTTCCTGACGATCTTTGGCAAAATCTGGGAACATATTTAATAACAACATGGCCTTGCCCTGATCTTTGTTAAGTATGGAAGTTATTTTCACTTGTGGTGTGGTGAATCCATGCTGTATTTTCCCTCTCTTCACTCATGAATATACAACACTTGTGCTCCACAAACATCAGGGAGAAGCCATGGAATTATTTCAGAGTACATATTATATAGTTTAAAGCAAATATATAGTAGCAATCAAATTTTAATTTTAAAGCACAATTTCAATATTAAGTATTCACATCCAAGCTATACAATTGAAACTTATATTCATATTTACAAAGTACTTAAAATAGGAAATATATACAAATACAAACTGCAAAACTTGTAGATGGTTAAAATTAAGACATTAGTTTAAGAGTATAATACTGTTCATAGAAATATGCACACTTTACATAAAATTGGATGACCAAATTGATATTATCCTGAAAATTGATAAAACTGACTAGCATTAATGTCCAATCTTCATATATGCATAACTCAAAAAATCAATTGAAGGAGAGCTTAGAAAGGGAAATAGCTACAAGCCATGAAAGAATTACTCTGTCAATTTCCATGTTCAATAATTGCTTTAAAACTTGGCATAATTACAGAAATTTTCTGGTATAGCAAAAATATTCACAAATTTGCTGACCATTTTTGTTTTCACAAAACAGATGGCTAACCAAACTTCATGGTGCAAATAAGTAGTCGCACACATTCTAGACTAATCCATATTGTAACTACACAACCCCAATTAGTCTCTAAAACTGTTTTACAAAAAGAATTTTGTATATTTTATTTTCAGCACTACAATCAAAACGTGTATACACACCAATGGGTCATAGCACCATAACATAACATTAAACATATTTCCTGTGCTCCTGACTCAGACCACATTCTGTCAATATGTGGACTAGCTTATGCTTCATGGAATCATTGTAGAATACAAATTAATTATTTATGTTTGTTTTTTCTCCTTCCAGCACCCCATGCATCATGTCCTGTCACAGCCATCCTTGCCCTGGTGTGTGATGTTGGAGCTGAATTGGTCTTCAGTGGTGGGAATTGCACTCTTTCATCTATTGAAATAACACATAACAATTGATATTAAAGTCAACCTCAGAGATACGACTCACCAAAGGAAAACGATATTGAGTTCTCACTTCATGACTCACGACAACCTCACATTCTCACTGCATGAAATAAATACTGAGTTTCACTATGCAAACCTCACACAGACATGATTGACTATTAGTATTATATTTCAATGATCAGAGTATTCCATTACCTACAATCTACTAGCTACAGCTTTATATATAATATTTGCATACAAGAAACTGTCTATAAACATGCATGAACAGAGCAGTATCACCACAATGTATATTAATTGACAAACAAAGTGAGATTTCAAACTTACCAATTGGTGAAGAGAAGGAATGTCTGCGTGAATTGTCTTGGGAAGAAACCACTGTGCTTGTATCACCACCCACTGACTGTAGTTCTATACTCGGACTAGACTGAAGTTAAACACACACAAGAATGAATGTGAATACTTAAAACCTTATGAAACTTTTCAAATTAAATGAACCATCAAACTACAATAGGGCTGCTGATTGAAAATGATGCATATCATCACTGTTTATATATTTTCAGATAATGTATTTTTAAATGTATAATGTATTATCAATGTCACTATAGACTCACCACTAACTGAACTCATCCATGTCACTATAGACTCACCACTAACTGAACTCATCTATGTCACTATAGACTTACCACTAACTGAACTCATCCATCTCA